GGATGACTGAGTGCTTGGGTTATAGTCAGCCTTTTGCTCGGGTCTAACATTAGGATCTTTTCTAAGATATCTTTCAATTGGGAAACCTTTCGCTGTTCGGTCTCATCCAATGTCTGGCCGGCTATGAGTTCAGTGTTTAAGTCTCGGATGGGCTGTATGTTTGATATGACAACTATTTTCTCCTAAAACACAAACAATCAATCAATTAATCAAACAATCAATTAATTCATTGCATTTCATTGTCAACTAATCGTTACAAACCTTTTCAGTAACTCTATCGACCTCTTGATAGAGAAAACTACAGTTTGCGTCGAAGTGCAGGTCCTTAAAGGCGCCTTTCCTCACGAATTTGTTACTCATTCTTCCCTTGAAGTCCATAAAAAATTTAAGCATTTGATTATTGGATTTACCGGAAAACATAATTTTTCCACAATATAACTCATACAAAGTACAGCCCACAGACCACATGTCTATATTGAAATCATACGAGTGTCCCAATACTGCAATCAAACCAATCGATCCATTAGTACACAATTGAAGCAAACATTTCATACAAAATACTCACTTATTTCGGGCGCGCGATAGAAACGGCTCACTAAATAGGGGGTAATGTCGTTCTCATTGGCATCACCGGCAGAACCAAAATCACATAATTTTAGAACCAATTTATTTTCAGTTACCTTTAAATTCAATATCAAATCAATTAATACAATAGAAAGCCATGAAATGGGATAATATTTACCAAAATGTTGTCGGGTTTGATGTCTCCGTGCAATATATTACACCTCTTGAGGAGCTTTAATGCCATAAATAACTGATGACTATAAGAGCGGACAGCCTTTATATGGAGTCCCACATCCTTTCCATACTTTTTGAGAATTTCACGCAAATTCATGGAAAGAGACTCAAAGACTAAACACAAATGATTTTTATGATAAAAATGTCTGAACAAACGTAAACAATGATATCGGTCTTCGGGGTCGGAATCGTTGAGCTTTTTTAGAAATTCTAATTCCTTTAAACCCGTTTTGTGCCTAAAATTAGAGTCAAATTCATTAATATGACCACAAAATGAGTCAACAAATACCACTCACATTGTTTCATTGTTCCTGATGATCTTTACGGCCACGTCTTGTTGAGACCGAGCCTTATCGCGACAGCGAACCACATTACTAAACACTCCCTGTCCTGTGTATCCATACACTGAATACCTCCCGTCAAGAATTTCTCCAATTCTTATGCCTTTAAAATTGAAATTAAAATTTTAGCACAAACTCAATGTAAGATCAAGTGAGTAAACACTTACGATAATAGCCCTCAGCGTCATCCCAGTTGTCATTGAGAGCCGGGTTCTCAGCTCCAGACGCTCTGAAGTGGTTTTGATCGCAGGGGGAGTTGTAATCAGCACTAAATATATCGGTCTCTGAGAACATGTCAACCGGTTTTCGTTTGATGGACTCGGGTTTCGCATCAGATGTCGGCTCCAAATCGGTATCATTTTCAAGCTCTTCTTCGGTCTCATCTAAGCGTTTGGAGATCTCGTCGAACGTCTCGAGTCGTGAGTCTTCGTCCACGAGACTGACCGACAGTTTGTCTGAATTCTTATCGGATTCTTCTTTTACCGGAGAGTTTTGATACGAAGAGAAACCAGAGTTCGAGGCATCGTTATCACCGGATTTGCCTAAACCTGTACTCAGTTTTTGCATCAATTCTTGTCTCTGTTTTCTTCGGCGTTCAATCTCTTGCTCTTCGTTCTCGTCTTCGTTGATATCGACGTCAATATTCGTCGATTCGTCAGAACTCGAGTCTTCATTATTTCGGTTCATTTGTTTGGATTCATTTGAATACTTGTCGTAATGTTTCGAAGCGCTCCTCTTCGCCGACCGTTTTCTGTCGTCTTCGCGTCGCTCTCTATCCCTGTCCTGACCTCTGAACCGGTCCTCACGATCCCTCTCGCGCTCACGACTTCTCCGGACGGGTCGATCCCTTTCCCGATCGCGCTCTCGATCCCTATCCCGACCCCTATCTCTGTCCCAACCTTGAGGTGACCTCCTATTTGACTCAATCCTTCGGTTCCAGTGATCGCCTCCTCTATCATTAAATCTATCGAATCGATTGTTCCGATCAGTCCGGTTGTCCACTCTTTCCGATCGATTTCTATCACTCCTGTCCGGTGTCTGACGTCTCTGTCGGTCATCTCTGGACCGACTTCTGCTGCGCTTCACGTGATGCTTGTCTTCGGAATGTTGTCTTTTGTCGCCTGTATTTGAACTTTCGGTTGACTTAACCTTCGGATCCTTTGAACTCATGTCCTCTTTGTTATTATCTCTATTAGAGGTCTCTCTTGTGTTTCGGTTTTCCTTAGACTTCGAGCTGTCTTTGGAAACGCTTTTCGGTTTGGATTCGCATTTAATAGACTTCTCACTCGACTTCAAGTGTTTGTCGTTTTTGTTTAAATCGTTATTTGATTTCCTTTTCCTGTCGTTGGAGTCCAGAAGTGTCTCATCTCGAGAACTCTTCGACGCATTCTTCTGCTTCTCTTTAGCTCTCAATTCGTTATCTTTTAAGTCATTACCTATGAATCCATTCACATTCACACCATTCAATTGGTCGCCATTTGATTCGCTGCCTCTTGTGGTCGAGTGACTAGTCTTGGAATCGTTGGCACAGGTGTTCATCAGCTCCTCTTCCCTCAGCTTCTCCTCCAACTCCTTCTTCCGTTTAATCAATTCCTCCAACTCTTCGTCCGATTTGGACACAACAGGCTTCGGCTTCTTCTCCTTCTTCTTATCCTTCTTCGACTTCTTCGAGTGTTTGGACGAATGCTTTGAGCACTTGTCATGACCTGAATCCTCCTTCTTATGCCTCTTGTGTTTGCTTTTGTGGGACTTCTTGTGACTTGAGTTCAATTTAATGGCCGACTCTTTGCTGGCGTCCACACAGGCCGACATCACTTCATCGCTACATCCAATCAAACCATTGCAGCCATTAGTCAACTATCGTATCATTTAATCTTAAGTCATCAGCAAATCACTCAATACTTACCATTTGTTTGATTTAATTGTGTTTTTGTCACTCAATTGTCGTGAGTTTCTATTGTCAGACATTTTTCAACCAAAACTATGAGTCCAATACTCGCGGTGAACACATCAATAACGTCTACCAGTTTTACACTAACCTTACGGTACGACTACTGTCGGTACAATTCATTTCATTTAGCAAACATTGCAATTAAAAATTCATTTTTTATTATAAATTTATTAGTTTTCAATTACTATTCATGTCATCAACGCATGCAATCATTGTGATTGTCAGACATACTTCTTAACCATTTTATAAAATTTAAAAACTTTAATAAATTAAATGCATTTCTGGACAGTATTTTTAAATCAAACATTATTTACAAGAATTTAACTATAATTAAGTTACATAAAACCATAAAACACAACAAAAATAAAAACTCATTTCTAGGTATTTAGTAAACAAATAAAATATATGTAATTATAGGCATAAAATAGACAAATGAGTCAACTTTTGTAGCAAAAAACAATCACTTGTTCATAGAGTTGGTGAGCAAAGTAGTGTCCGATTGTGGTCTGAGTTGGAGCTCATTGAAGAAACGGCGACAGAATATGATGCCAATGGATGGCGGCTTATCAATGGCTGTGAGTCCCTCCTGATCCTTAGGTGTCATCGACTCGAAAGCGCGTCTATATTCGCGATCAAAGGCCGCTATTATAAAGAGAAACCATTGAATTAATTACTCAATTAACTGATAGTTATTATAGTGCTCACTATTATTGATGTTTTCTCGGCCTAAAGCCACGAATGACAGGAACAGTAGGTCTCGATAAATGCTGTGCTGTTTAGCAGTGCTTTTCTTAGCCGTTCATAGCCGGCCAGACATTGGATGAGACCGAACAGCGAAAGGTTTCCCAATTGAAAGATATCTTAGAAAAGATCCTAATGTTAGACCCGAGCAAAAGGCTGACTATAACCCAAGCACTCAGTCATCCCTTCATAACCGATAAGATGTGATGACAGAAGTGAGTCATGACTTGTGGCCCCTCTTACAGTACAGTATGTCTTAAATCCATATAATTATCGAAATTATATTCACTATTATTTATAGACAACTAAAACAAATAAATATTGTTTTCATATATATGCGGACAACCGAACCGTTTAAGTGACAAAACGTTATCATAATTATTGAGTTTGTTTTGCATTTCATTTGTCTATCGATTGATAATTATTTTTATTAACTGTACAGACATTTTAAATTGTAAATAAAATGCCGTTCCTTTATTTACACCGTTTGTTAGGTTTGTCTGACAATCAATTAACTGGACTTTCGGTTAATGTCACCGAAAAATACAATACTTTTGTATTTGTTATTAACTAAGTTATTAACGACAACTCTAGGTTAAGCTCTGTTACAATTTGTTCACCATTAACTTGAGTGTAATTTGGGTAAACACTAATTAAAACAAAATAAAGCTTCGTTAAATTATTTATTTATTTGTTTAATTCCGATATATTAGGCATTTTCGCCAAATTATCTTTCGATCACTTCTTTGGTCTCAATTTTAGCTTAAAGTATGAAATAAAGTAATGTTCGAAGAAATTATGTTTTCACTCGTTTTCTATACTTTTTAATACTTCTATTTTGCAGGCATTTGTTCACCAAAACAGTTGTTTGGATTCAATTCACAAATTCTCACATTTCATTCACTCACTCATTACTCATTGATTTTTGTATTTTTGTTTTTATGTTTTAAAGACAACGATCTATACATTTGTTGAGGTGTTGACCACTTTCTCATTCAAGTAAGTAATCCCTTACCAAATCAGTTCTCAATCAATCATTATTTGCATAAAAAGTAAGTATTCATTGCATTTTAATGTTTGCTAATTTTTGCGATCCCTTCAATGAAGTTAATGAAAAATAAAAATATTATTTTTCCTCTTAAATTAATATATTTAAATATATTTAATATTTTAAAATAAACGATGAAATAATTGCAAAAATATCAATACGTATAGTGAAATACAGTATATACCTGTATATTTAAAATTTTAGTTTTAGTTTTATCAATTAAAATTTGTGCATTAAATAAATGAATTCCGGGCTTAATAGTTACAAGAATTGCGAAAAATATAATATTAATTGATTAATAAAATAGTCATGTGCTAATTATGTAATTAACTTATATATTAAACTATACAATCCTTATTTGGAGATGAGTACTAAACGTTTGTTTAAAGTCTGGGTTTTTAGACAAATAGATTGTGGGACTGGGATGACATTTATTGTGGGATTCACAATAGATAGTCATCCCTTCATATTCTTTGGTTTATAATTAAAAATCAGATATTGAACAATAATTTCTAATACCGTATAAAAACTTGTCATCACTTTCTTTCAACAAACATTTTTTATGTTTTTAATAATAATAATAATAATAATAAATAATTGTTTAATTGAAGGACACAGAATTGATAATATTCTGTGTGTTATGAAACTAATGGGAAATTATCCAATGTTTGCTAAATTATGAATTCTTATATATTCATTAAATCATTTGTTTTGATTAAATTCTTTACTGAATTTCATTTATTGAATTCATCATAACTTGACATTTTTAAATATTTGTCTAACAAATTATTAGCTAGATGCTCGTTGAAAGTGAAATTCAATTATTTTGAATTCAATTATTTCTATTTGATTTAATTAAAATAATTAAATGTTTAATTTGTTGTATAAATAACTCAAATATTTTAATGCATTCTTTGCTGACGAAAGAAATGCAATCCAACGCTATATTCCAGTCTATCTTAAGGCAGACTTCAAAATATATCAATAATTTAATTATTGGTTTTTTCCGTTGCAATAAAAATTATTTTCATTTGTGTATCGATTTCGTACTATTTGTGGGAATATGTTATTCATGAATAGATAATTCAATGATTGGATGTCATTATAAGATTATATTTCATCAATAGTTTAGGTAAGCCTTCAAACTTCAAAAATTCCCAACTTTTCACTTGAATATCGTCAGTGAATATCATAATCACTGAATGCTTATAACTATAAACCAATAAATGATTTATTAGTACAAAAGTGAACGACAGAAGGAAATATAGAATTGAATCCAACATTTTAAGGCCGAACTTGACATCCTTTTGCAAAGTACTCATCCATTCACTCCCAGCGCCGATGCCTGAGATATTCTTGTGTATTGGTTATTATCAGGCGATTGAGGGAAAGGGAGGGAGAGGTGTGAGAATGTATTGAGACGTTCGGCACTTTAAATGATTGCTTTGAATGCGATTTGAGAGCAAATTCTTATTGAAACTCAAGGCTGACGAGAGCTGAAGGCGATATCCTATGCGATGATGGTTTGGGTGTATCTGAAGACTAGTGCAGAACTACTCTCTAAATGGACATCACTATAGACGATACGCTCGTCTCACATGCCTGTCCTTCACAACACAATTATATAAAAAGAGGTGTTTTTAATCGGATCCCAAATTATTAGCTTTTTGCTGCTCTTTTGTATTTGACTTTTTCGCGCAACAAGTCTTACGACAAATCTTTCGAAAATGAAAGCAATCGTAAGTTTTTGTCTGCAATTGAATGGTATCTCTTATCCCATATATTCCTCCGGTTAGGCACTGATCGTCTTTGCACTGATCGCTTGTGCCAGCGCTGGCATCCTCAGCCCATATGTCGGATACTCCGGGTATTTGTTAAAAGGACTATAGATCTGTGTGACCCATAATGACACCATTATATCCACTTGTTTGCAGCTACTATGCGGCGCCCGTAGTTTCTCGTTCATACGTTTCCTCGCCGTACGTGTCATCCTATGTGTCCCCATACGTGGCCCGAAGCTACGTCGCCTCGCCATACGTCGCCTCGTCATACGTTGCCTCACCGTACGTCTCGAGCGCCTATGTCTCGCCGTACGCCACCTACTCTTACCTCCTCAAGAAGTAAATGACCACAAAATGAATGATGATTTCGATTTTGACGCAACGCTTGATTCAATTTATACACAATCTTTCAATTCTTATTTGAGAAAAAGTTTTTGTAATCAAAATCTCTGAAAAATACTCTGAAAAACAATTTTATACTTTTAATTCATTTTAATAAAGATATTTTGAAAACCTCACAAAAATTATTTGTAGTTTTATTGATTATTGAATATTTTTGAATATCATTGCAAATAATTATTCATGGTTATGAATCATAGATGTAAAATATATTATATTGAAGTTAAGATTTAATTTTATTCAATATATCGTATAGAGTCTATAGAGTTATATTGTACTATACAGTTATGTAATAAAGATTCTATTATTATATTCTAATACTCAAATAATTGAGGCATTATTAAAGTTTTTGTATAAAGAATTTAAATTCCTTGATACAGTAGTTCGTGTATGAAAACATTACAAGTACAAAGGTGGGATACTTGATCTTTAATATAAAGTAAAGTAATAAATCCATTTGAAAATATTGTCTAGGTGTAGCTTTGTGAATAAGACTTTCAATGAAAATAAAATAAATTTTTTTGAGAGAGAGAGAGA